ATATATCGCCTTGCTTACAGTATCGCAATATATCGGGATATATCGTATCGTGACACCTCTGTCATGATATGTATCCTATCGCCAAATTATTGCCAATACACAGCCCTACTCACAACATTAGCTGCTGCGCTCTCCCCAGGGGAAGGGGCGGACACATGCGCTCGCGTGACCCAAAGAACGGATCGGCCGAACGGGCAGTGTTTCGGCCGATACCGATACAAGGAAAAAACGCAAATATCGGCCAAAAATATCGGCCGGCCGATGTATCGGTCGACCCCTAATTGAGATTACAGTTTTCTGAAAAAAATAAAATAAAATACTCTAAAAAATTACATTATCTTTATTTTTATGATAGTTTTCTACTGTGATATGACATGAATTTGAGGTTATACCACCCAGCCCTACCTGGAGGTGTTACCTTTAACGTCAGACATGAGAATGTCACTAACTTTTGTTGATTCTAGAGAGAACACACGATAACACACAACTCTCATTCTCTGCTTTAAACACAAGGCTGCAATGATCAAAGTATAAAAATACAAAACTGAAGCTAACATTTAGTTCATCATTTACAAAATTTCCTTCAGTACAGTGATGTGTCAAAGGTTGTTAACCCTGGTGGCCCCCCAGGGTAATAATGCACTGTGGGGAACCCTGTAAACTGAAAACATGCATCATTTGAATGAAACAAATGCTAAATGATGAGAGTATTTACCTTTTCTGCAGGTTGAGAAAGTGGCGCCTTCGCTCACTCTGCTCCAGCACGCTGTACTTGCTCTTATATTGAGCCATCCGAGGGTGGGGGGCAGCTGTACTGTTGGGCTCCTTGGACACAGCGAAGCTGGCCGAGAGTGCTTCAGTCAGGGCATCCATGGTGGCACTGGAACACAGCAGGAGACAGATGATCTAAACAAGATGAGTCTGAGGAGGAAAAAATACAAAACATAAACTAAAACGTAAAACAAACTGTCTCTAGATAAACTTTCAGCTTCGTAATATCTCTAAACTCCGGCCCCTGCTGTCCACTTCAGACTTAGAAATGGTAATTCGTGCCTTCATTTCTACCCGCTTAGATTATTGTAACAGCTTGTTCACCTGTCTTAACCAGAAACAGTTAAATCATCTTCAGCTTGTCCAAAACTCAGCAGCAAGACTCCTAACCTGAACCTCTAAATTCACCCACATCTCCCTGATCCTAGCAGAACTTCACTGGTTTCTGGTTCAAAATCCTGGTCCTCACCTTCAGAGCTCTTCATGGCCAAGC